AGTTTTTCTGCATCATTTTTAGACAGGATGTTCCTGATTTTCGCAATATTACGTAGGTGAACAAAGGCGGTCCTTGAAATTTGCTTAATGTGAGACTTAAACGACATGTCCTGATCAAAGATAACTCCAAGATCCCTCACAGTGGTGCTGGAGGCCAGAGCGATGCCATGAAGGGAAACTATATCTTTAGATAATGCGTCACGGAGGTGCTTAATCTGCTATAATCTGCATAACAGTGAAAGCTTATGGAATATTTCCTGATAATATTGCCTAAAGGAAGCATATATAAAGTGAAGAGGATTGGTCCGAGGACAGATCCTTGTGGAACTCCATGACTAACTTTGGCGTGCATGGAGGACTCATCGTTAACATGTACAAACTGAAATCAATTTGATAAATAGGACTTAAACCAGCTTAGAGCGGTTCCTTTAATGCCAATGAAATGTTCCAGTCTCTGCAATAGGATCTGATGGTCAATGGTATCAAATGCAGCACTAAGATCTAATAAAACCAGTACAGAGACAAGTCCTTTGTCTGATGCAATAAGGAGGTCGTTAGTAATTTTCACCAGTGCTGTCTCTGTGCTATGATGAGCTCTAAATCCTGACTGAAAATCCTCAAATAAACTATTGCTCTGTAGAAAGTCACACAGCTGTTTAGCAACTGCTTTCTCCAGAACCTTAGAGAGAAATGGAAGGTTAGATATAGGTCTATAGTTGGCTAAAACATCCGGATCAAGTTTGGGCTTTTTCAGAAGAGGTTTAATTACAGCTGCTTTAAAGTACTGTGGTACATAGCCTGTTGATAAAGATAGATTGATCATATCTAGTATAGAAGTGCTGACTAAGGGTAAAACTTCTTTAAGCAGCCTAGTCGGGATGGGGTCTAAGAGGCAGGTTGATGGTTTAGATTATTATTAAGAAGATTATTGAAATTAGTTGGTAAAGATTGAGGGAAGTAAAGCAGTCTAAACATATATCTGGTTCTACAGCTGTTTCTAAGGTTCCTGAGTTTAGAGATAAGTCGGTGCCAGTTGAGGGCAGGTCTTGGTGAATTTTGTCTCTAATAGCTAGAATTTTATCATTAAAGAAGCTCATGAAGTCGTAACTACTGAGAGCTATGGGAATACTTGGCTCAATAGAGCTGTGACTCTCTGTCAGTCTGGTTACAGTGCTGAAAAGAAACCTGGGGTTGCTTGTAAAGAAATTTTTGCCCAATGGCATGTAGTTCAATACAAACTCAAAAGTTATCAAACAGTGGTCAGATAAAGAGGGATTCTGTGGGAACACAATTAAATGTTCAATTTCAATACCATACACCAAAACAAGGTCGAGGGTGTGGTTAAAACAGTGAGTCGGTTCTTGAACGCTCTGAGAGAAGCCAATGGAATCTAACAGAGAGATAAACGCAGTACTGAAGCTGTCATTCTCAACGTCCACATGAATATTAAAATCCCCTACAATAATAACCTCTGATGATGAGCTCGTCTCGTCTCATCGAGTACAGTACCAGATGGGCTATGTGTCTGTCAGATGGTCTGAAGGGGGTAGCCTATATCAGCAGAGCAATAACGCAGGGTAATGCACAGCAGAGGGGGCGGGTTTTGTTAAAATATTATGACTTCATTCTCATTAGATTGCGATTGTATTCTCATAATATTACGTCTTTTGTCTCTAAATATTCTTCTCCAAATGTCAGAGAACACAGATATGTGGGAGAGATTCTGACTGTGCAGAAAGTTTTGAACATGAGCCGAAAACGTGCTGAAACAGAGGAGCAAGAGTTTATTTAATGACTTTATCATTGAGGTGTGAATGTGCCACGTATACATTTAAAGACTTCAGTCATGCCTGCATGTGTGTTGACTCAGCAGGGATGAAATTAAATTAGAAAAGTGGATCTACAGGAGAAACATATCTGACAACACAGAATACCTGAGAGCTGCACTGCATGATATTACATTATCTTTTTACCTCACCTGTCACCTGCATTTTGTATTTCATTTTTTATAAATAAAGAAATTTCCTCAATAAATTGCTGCAGAAAAATTAAGTCTAATATGATATAAATATCAATATATAATAGTGTAAAGAGAAATGTGGAAAGAATAAAAGCTTTTAATAAATCTTTTTAAAGTAAATGTAAATATCCCTAACCCCAAAGGTTTAGAGAAGCAGTAAGAGAGTGAGAGTGTATGAGAGCGTTGTGAACCTGGTTGAACTTATGCTGAGCCTCATTTGGTGTTGAAAGCCACAACATTCTTACATTGGGCAACAGAATATATTTTCGATAACAACAATTTTTTATTTTAAATGTGTTGTTGAAGAAAACCTCTAAATATACATAGCTGATCAAAAGAAAAGAAATTATCCTTTTAAAAACAAAAATTAAAGACGCTTATGTTTATTGAAGAAAATGATGGACAAATGTTACATCTCACTTTGTATACAAGCCAAAGATATTTAGTTGAACTGTTGGGGACTGGTATTCTTCCTGAGGCCACTGAGGTTTGCAGATTAAAAAATATTCAGGAAGAAAACAGATTCTCCGAGCTATGTGATTTGGAGGGTTTTTTCGGGTGAGCAGGGACCTGTAAACAGGAATTAGCACCACAGAGAGATAGTCTGAGGTGCCAAGGTAGGGGCGGGCAACTGCCTTGAATGCCTTCTTAATGTTTGTTTAGGCTAGGGCCAATGTGTTAATCCCCCTTGTAGCAAATTCCACATGCTGGTAGTAGTGTGGAGGAGGACTTTCTTCCTGGCATAGTCTCCAGCAACAATTAACACTCTAGAGATGGATGGTTTGCAGATAACTGATGGAGCACTGATGGAGTGATAGAGCATCCAGGACCTCATTAGTGTCTCCACTGGGGGGAAAGCACGGCTATGGTTGGTGTAACAGAAAATTCCCAAGGCAGATAGTAGTCTCTATGTCTAAGATCAATGATTGAGACCACTGTGATGTTACTACACCAGTTGTTATTAGAGTAAATGCACACAACTCCTCCTTAACATTTACCACTGGGAGTGCACTCATAAGTCACAGTGAGTATCCTACTCTCACATCTATGTCTCTCTTCAGTGCCTTTTTAGCTGCCACATCAGCTTTCTGTTTAGTTTAACCAGAGATGGTTCACAGTGGTTGGCACCCATAAATGTTACATTACCGCCATCTATTGGAAAAGCTTGGTCTTCCCTGCACTTGGGAATTTTTTGTGTGACATAAATGGAAGTCAAAAGGACACATGGTGGAGATAAGGTGGATAGGTGGAGATTTACAAATATATTTCCACTGAAAAATGCTCGATGTAGTTGCTGTAGAAATGATTGAATACAGTACATAGTTGTAAATCTGTCGCAAAGGTGTGGTGATGGCGCATAGATAAGATGCTTGCCTTTGGTTTTGGAGACCTGGGTTCAATTCCCATTGTGTCCCAGAGCAAGACACTTAACCCCTAGTTGCTCCAGAGGCATGCAACCTCTGACATGTATATGACAATTGTAAGTTGCTTTGGATAAAAGTGTCAGCTAAATAAATAAATGCAAATTGAGATCCAGAAATACAAATCACTCTGGCACAGATATAGATTTGCAGATTCAAATTACTCTGCACTTATTTGTGAATTGTGTTTTACAGATATGAGTCAAGTCTGAGTGTATATGCACACCATTTTGCATCTGGCTTATATGAATTTGTGTTCTTTCAGAAGTTACAGGCATGACACAATAAAAAAACAAAACATCATTCATTCATTCTGAAACCTGCAATGTGGAATATTTGTCTCCCCTTCTGGCAGTGAGAGTAATTACACAAACACTGTCAACTCAAGCTTATGATGTACTGTATGCCTACAGGTGAGCTAGCCTGAGGCTCGTGTTCAGAAATAGTTACAAAAATGCTGAGGCATTTCCACAGATCCAAGACAATAATAAATTATTTAGGTAGAGTAAAGTAACAGCTACATAGCCTATTTTACAAATACCAACCTTTCCAAGAGCAGCAATGCATCATCCGTGTCTGCCCTCAGTTCCATCTCTATTCTCAGAGCTCTTTAAGAAGGAAAAGCTACACCAATAATGATCCGTCAATCACTTTCTTTTTTTTGACTCTGAATGCAGAGTTTCTTTTTTACCTGGAGCATCATAAACTTTTCTTGGATGCCTCTTAGGTTTTCCTTGCTAACACAAACAAACAATCATTATAATAAACAGAATCAATAATCAGCATTTCTCAGTAATAAACCTTCTCTCCAATGGACCTTTTTTTTCACAGCAATGACAGACCATGGATCTACATGGCCTTCGTTACTGGTTGACGTAAAATGGATCATAACTGGTGCGCCAGTACATTAATATCTTCACGAACACCAGATTTTAAATCTGTTGATAGGCTTAATAAACATTGTTTGAACTTGTTTGGTAAGGGCTTGAATGTAACAGATGTTCATTTATATGAAGAAGTCTCACACTTCAGGTTTAAGTAGTATTCTTACTAGCTGCATATACATAGCAAAGTAAATGCTAGTTGTGTTTGTAATCTAAGGTGGAGTAATGGTTGTGGAGATGGTGAGAGGTAGAGAATAAGCAGGTAATCTTTGTATAAAACCATTAGTTTACTTATTAATTTAGCAATAGTTACAGTTTATTGAAAAGTTTCACTTTACTAAATTTGCTATTTAATACAATTTACTGTGTCTGGTGTGAGTCAATAGTCACATCAGGGCTGTGTGTGGCTGATTTCAAGTGTTTTCATGATTCAAATGAAAGTTTTCTGAAAAACCTTTTAACCTAAAGATTTGAATCTAATGTATACCTATTCTCCTTATTTTCTTTTCTTTTCAACCCATTTTTTTTTCTCTGTCTACCCCTTCCAATCTTTCTCCATCCCAACTTCCCCTCACTCCCATCCTCGTTTTCCTTCCCATTCCCATTTTGTGTGTCTCGTTCTTTTATCCTCCTCCTCCTCATCATCTTGGTCATTCCTTTTCTCTATCATTGCAGTGACAGGAAAGCCCTTCTTCATTGTATCTAGTTTCTCCCACCGCTGGTTGTTCGGGTGGGAGGGTTGTCGCTTCTACGGCTGGGCAGGTTTCTTCTTTGGTTGCGGGAGCCTCATCACAATGACTGTGGTCAGTCTGGACCGATACCTCAAGATCTGCCATCTCAGATATGGTACGTCAGGACTCCTTTTACATGGTGTTCAGAACAGGGGTTGGACTTTTGATTTGAATAAAACTTATTAGTAATTGTTATACTCCCTAATAAAATCAATTGTAAAAAAAATAATGAAATTAATCCTAAATCTCCCTCAAGGACCCCTTGGGTTCTTCTGACTCTTCTATGAGTGGACCTGGACACAAATTATGGGTTGCAAGTGTTAGACCTATGTTAATCAGGGCATGTTTTGCGCACATATCCATCAGCATCGTCCACTGCAGATGTTCTGTTACATTTGTTTGTCCCACATTATAGAAAAGAGTTTTTCAGCTAATGTTTTGTGTCCTTTTTTTGTGTCCAGTTGTGGTGACAAACTCACAGCAGCAAGTAAAACTGTAACCTCAGCACTCCTTACGTTTAAAACTGAAATGATATTTTGCACAAGAATGAGTAACCCCCCACCATTAATAAGTTAACTGAAATTGTTCACAGTTGAGAGACCCACTTTGTTCATGCAACTGCACGTGCAGAAAACAGGCACACTCAACTTAAACCCCTTCTGGGTTAATTTCTTTGAAACCTTCTTTAAACTCTCTTTCAATATTGTCAGAAATGGTTGTCAACTTAGCTGAGCTTTACTTAGAGTGGAAAATACGTTATTTTAGTACTGCTCTGATGCGATGTCTGGCTTTTGCTGTCAGGGTCTGATAGAGTTTTGGGTAACTGTCACTTTATTATGAGAGCAAAAAAATTGTTTTGAAGTCAGGATTTCTATGATCCACACACTGAGGCTGAGGTCAAAGTTCAAAGGCTGGAGTTAGAGAGTTTGGATTAAGTTTAATTTAAAGTTTTTTAATTAAACTTTTCCATCATGTTGCTGTCTTTCTCTTCACCCTTAGGGACGTGGTTAAAACGCGAGCATGCCTTCCTGTGCCTGGCCTTTGTGTGGATGTATGCAGCTTTCTGGGCCACCATGCCCCTGATTGGCTGGGGAAACTATGCCCCGGAGCCCTTTGGGACCTCCTGCACACTGGACTGGTGGTTGGCACAGGCCTCTGTGTCCGGTCAGAGCTTCGTCATGGCCATCCTGTTCTTCTGTCTCATCCTTCCCACAGGCATCATAGTCTTCTCCTACGTCATGATTATCTTCAAGGTCAAGTCCTCTGCAAAGGAGATTTCACACTTTGACGCCCGCATCAGCAACAGCCACGCGCTTGAGATGAAACTCACAAAGGTGGGCGAGAAGTTGAACGGAAGTTGAGGGGAATGAAAAAGGGCAGGACGAAGCAAGAACAGTAGAGAGAAGAAGATAGTTCAGTATTGCTCATAATGGAATTGTGTAAAGGACAAGTCTATGACCTGAATATTGCTTTGTCTCCTCCCCCAGGTGGCAATGCTGATCTGTGCAGGCTTCTTGATAGCCTGGATCCCTTATGCAGTGGTGTCAGTGGTGTCAGCATTTGGTGAGCCAGATTCGGTTCCCATCCCTGTGTCTGTCATTCCCACGCTGCTGGCCAAGTCCTCAGCCATGTACAACCCCATCATCTACCAGGTTGTGGACCTGAAGAATTCCTGCATGAATCTCACCTGTTCAAAGGTCCTGAAGAAACGTGGGCATTTTAGAAAGTCAAGGTAAAAAAGGTCTTTCTGTTTCTGTTCTTTGTTTCTGGGAAATTGTTGATAAAGCACAGCCTTACTTCAGGCAGAGCACTGGAGTTGCGCTTGCATGAGCTGATTGGCATCAACTGTTTTATTTATGCTTCATAATCAATGGCTCCCCAGTTCCCTAGTATATGGATACGGTCAAAGATCGATCAGGCACTTCCCAGGGTTTCCCTTAAGAGCGTCTCTGGTCATACACCAGTAGCTTAGAAATTTATAGGCCCTGTTCTGTCACAGGTATGGAGATCTATGTCCCCATCCCCACCTCAGAGTTCAGTTTAAGATCTACCTAGGGATGTTACATGCTTATACAAATGTCTGAAAAACATAGGACATAACATACTGATAGATGATACATTGGGTAAATGATACATTCTGGATAAATGAAATGTATTAAGTTGGATAAATAATACATTCTTTCTCAACAGAAGCAATAAAAAAGGACTTGTTAAAATCAATTTGAAATGATCAAAATCAGAGGGGTAAGGCATTGTATGAAGAAAGGTAAATCGACAAGCAATAGGATAACATCGTACGAGGGAGACACTGATACCATTAGGACAACGCGTTCTCACTTCCAACTTGTCACATAAGAACACATGATAAGCACCCTTTGGTTTCAGTTTGTAATGCATTGGGGATCCCCTTTCTCCCCATCATAGCTAGGTAGGTGTATGATATATATAACAGAAAAGTGTAATGCTAAAGGGGTAACCAGGGCATTAAAAAGCGACGCCAAGGGGCCTTGACCAAGCATCCATGTGTGACGAGTTGGGATTATGAAAAGTGCTGTAAGTAAGGAAACAAAACAGAAAGCAAGTAATAATTAAATCTGCAAGCATGGTTGAATAGGCCCTCGCCTCCTCGGGGGAAGCTACAGCCAAGGCCTCGTCACTGGAGGGCAGGAATGGCGCAGTAGATAAGACACATGCCCTTGGTGTGGGAGACCTGAGATCTGTTTGATTCACTCTGCAACACGTATCCACCAATGTGTCCCTGCGCAAGACCTTAACCCCTAGTTGCTCCAGAGGCGTGCAACCTCTGACATGTATAGCAATTGTAAGCTGCTTTGAATAAAAGAGTCAGCTACAATGAATAAAAATGTAAAAATAAAATGGAAGCAGGTTAACATGGCTCTGACTATTAAAGACTGCGCTTATCAAACATGATAAATTAACCAACTTGTGTGTTTGCTGTTGAGGTAGCACGGTTACTTATTTTGAAACATTGGACATATTAACATGTTTACTTGAATCAGACAAAGCAGCCTTAACAGTACACAAGTCATCATAAGGAAACATCCAATAGGTCTTTGCAGTCTATGCCATGAAGCTGAGACAGTCAAGCATATACTTAAATAACATAGAAATTGACACAGTACCGTTTGGGGAATACAAATCTAAAGAACAGAAGTGTAAATTTGTAAATTCACTTATCAATAACTAAAAATGTGAACTAGAATTAAATTTACAGCTTGTGTAGCTTAAACCAAGCCTTAAGTGTACTTTAAAGATCAACTTACACACAGTGTAGAAACAACAAATACAACAATATCAAATAAACCCGAATGAATGCTGTCGGTCTTTTATTCTGCTGTTGTCACTATGAAACACCAAACAGAACGTGTGTTTGTTATATTGTATCTAGCCGTGGCAATCAGGACTTTACAAATTTTGCTCTGTGTGCTTTTTTTCTTTCCTCATACTAACATACACACACTCATTACCTTTACTCGCACCTACACACATATACATCTGGAGCCCACAGTGTGTAGCCTGGACTCCAGCTGTGCCCCCACACCATTTGTCTATCAGCCATTTTGGTTCCTAACCTGCTTGATTGTTGTATGCTTTTATTTTTGCTAAGAATAAATGACAGCGATTTGTTGGCTAAAGCTGTGTGTGTCCAAAGTTTGTTGCATTTAAGATACACTATAGGTAGCGAAGATGATAATGACAGAGTGACTTCAGACACAGCTAATGTCTTGTAAGATTTTTGTATCGTTATGTGTGAGAATGTTTTATGTTACGATGGAATTTACTTAAAATTGTCACACTTTTTATTACTGTTTTTTCATTTTTATAGTTTGGCTCACAGTATATCTGCTTGTTAAGACTAAGATGTTTCTTACTGATGTCCTTGTATTCTCTTGTTTTCATGTCTGTGCAGGTTCTACACCATCTCTGGCCCATTAAGAAACACTCCACCAGCCAAAGATGCTCAGATCGAAATGTGAGACAGACACTTTAGACTGTGTGAGCCTCTCACCTCGTCTTCTTTGGACAGTTTGCCTTTCTCCCTGCCCTCCGTGCCCAGTCACATGCTGCCTGTCACCTGCTATGACATTATTACCCGCACAGCTTTTTTGCCCCTGGTTCCGGAGTCTGGCTTGTTTATGCACCCAGGCTGGATCTCTGTGTGTTTCCCCCAGTTCCCTGAACTACAACTTGAAACAGAAAAATGATCATCCTGGCATGAGCTATGTCCAATCAGGGTTGTACCTGGGTGTAGCGAGGCTGTTGCCTTTTTTACTCATACACCTGTGGCTTGTATACAGTAAATATATCTCAAAAGCACTGAATCATGTTACCTTATGTTCTCATCAGTTGTTTAACTGCACAAAAGGAGACGTTCTGTCACTGTAACCAGCAAGACGGACAAATTTGCTGTCGTGTCTGTGGTGTGAACATGAGCTACTGCTACTACTACTATTTTTATGCTGTGATGTACTACTCCTGGTTCACCACATCCACTTCAAAACTGTCTCAGAAAAGGCTAAAGACATTGATGATGCTATGATGCTTGTGGAGCTTGCTAGTTTTCATTAAACGGATTGTCTGTGCCAGGGTAGAGAGCTCTCTCTGACCTATATGAAATTCCACTCAAATGTCCATGAGCTTCTTCAGAGGAGTCGAGACATGGGGACTGACCGCGACAGACTTCTCCTGATCAACTCTCTCTATCCTCTTGCCCTTGTCCGTATTTCTCAGGTTGATTCCAATGAAGCGCCTGAAAAATACAGCAGTCTGAGGTTTGAGGCTGGATAGAAATAGTCTGCTACTATTTGAAGTAGATGCGCATTATGAACGTGAAAAGAAAAAAACAGAGAGACTTATCAGAAAAATGTAAAAGAAAAATCACCGCATTTGGCGATACATGATTTTCACTGGACAGGAAAGGTATGAAAATTTGTAATCTAAACAGTAACTAGTAATTAAAGCTGTCAGACAAATGTAGTGGAGGAAAAAAGGACAATATTTTCCCCTGAGATGTAGTGCAGTAGAAGTATAAAGCAGCATAAAAATGGAAATACTAAAGTAAAGTACAAATACATCAAAATTGTAAGTTAGTACAGTACTTAAGTGAATGTAACATTCCACCACTGCTGAAAACAGAGCAGCAAGCCCCATCACAAAGATGCCCTCACCTATGACACGACCCTCTGTTATGGTTTGTGGGTTCCATGTCTTGTGTTGTACTGTTTTGCCTTGTTTATTCTTATGATGATTTTATGTTTGGTCTAGTTCTGGTTTCATCATCCCAGCGCATTTCATCACATCCCAGTTGTCTTAGTGTGTAGTCCTGCTTCTGCGTTTTAGGTATTTTTCTTTAGATCTACTTTGTTGTTTCTCTGTTTAGGTTTTACATGTGTTCTGTTTGATTCTACTTTAAAGGTTGAGTGTGTAAGTTTTAGTGACATCTAGTGGTGAGAGTGGAGAATTGCACCCCCCTCCCCTATCCAAGCGAGTAGTATAGCTACGGTGCCTGAGACAGGACAAAGATGTCATCTATGAGATAGAAGAGTTTGCCAGTCAAGAAATGAGGTTTCTTTAGATAGATATACTAAGAAATTACATTTACTTATATTTATTCAGTAAATCCATATGTTTTTTTTATATATTATTGTTACTTGCTCATTAATAATTAAGTGTTAAATGATGTCTCATGCTCCTGTAATACAGGATTTTACAACTTTGGAGGGTTGGCTCATCTGGACTTACATACCAACGTAAATGAAGAACATCTCAAACATCTAGTGCATCAAGTATGACCACTGACAGATAACAGGAAAATGTAAGCCTCACTGTTTCTGCACCACAGCCCATTATAAACCACATAATTTATGAAGTTTACATTGGCTGGGGAGGATCAAGGCTCCTCTCACTTTGCTTAATTAGATCTACAAATCTTACCAAAATGTCTTTTTTATTTTTTTGAAATGCAATAGAAACACAAAGTAGTATTGACAGCCATAATTTTAGAAATGGTGCAACGTTTTTAATGGGCATTTAGTATGTGAAAGTACAAATTACACATTTGTGTGCACAGTGGCGAAGCACCGTGCACACTATCCAATAATAATAAAATGCATATTCGGAAAGTATTCATTATTGGTCACTTTATAGGCAAACGTTCTTGTTATATATCACCATTAGCGGTAAAGAAATACAGTACATGTTTTCAACCAGGCCAGTAAAATGTGAAGCTGCTGATCTGGGCTTCCTTGCTGTTACCATTTTATTAACAATAATATTCACCAGCTGTTTGACTCACGAAGGTAAGGGCACATTTCTGTCCACATAACAAAGCCTGGAGAATAACTACATGAAATTACAATCTAACAACATATTTATTCTACCTGGGCAGTAAAAGTTTAGCTGGCTGATCTGAGCTTCAGTGCTGGAAACTGTCTTTTATTGCCAATTAGTTATCAGCTGATTGTCTCAGGAATGTAAAGACAAAGCCAAAACAGAGCGCTGGAGAGAGAGTAACTACATGAAATTAATCCAACTACATATTTTACACCACAAACCAAAGCACAGCGCTGGAGAATAAACCAATCCAATTAACCTTACATGATTTTTCTCAGTCAGTAAAAGTTTAGCTGGCTGATGCTCCCATGCTCTAAGCTAAAGTTACGGTTTTATTGCCAATTAACGTTCAGCTGATTGTCTTGCTAACGTAACCGGCAAAGCCTACAGGCTGGAGAGTAGGCGACATGAAATTAATCGAACTAGATGTCTGTGATTATGGCCAGATTCTAGCTAAAGCTATCAAACAACAGTTTTCATTGGCATCGCTAAAGTCTGACAAACTTAAGTTAATTATCTGTCCAGCAGGAAAAAATCTGTCCCACATTATAGCCTTCTATCTGGGATAATCAAAACATCCTTGATTTCTGCTGTCAGCTGTCTGTATCTGTCCCGACTCCATCTGACTTCATGGTATAAAGATGCACAGGCTGTAACACTGAGCTTGTTCATATGTCCAAATGTCACTAATCTTCTTACTTCTAATAAACCAGAGGACTACTCAGAGACTGTATATTATTGTTATTATTATTTCCTCTTCTTCCACTTTGTACATGTTCTATGTTGTGACGGGCGTCTACACTGCTAGAATTATACAAGCCGAAGAAGAACACCGTGATGATGAAACACGCTCTGTAGCGCTGTTTGTTCGTCGTCGGCTATGGTATAAACATGACGACAAACTACGGCAACCTTCATAGAAGGGGGTGCCCACAGTTATGTAGATATAAATGGCTCATTCTAAGGTAATAAAAACAAATGGTTCATTATGTAAGGTCTTTATACACCACTGAAAACATAGTTATGGATCTTATTACACACTGAACCTTTAAGTCCTTTTTTCCCCGATACGTTTGTAGTCTATCTGTATTAGTTTTTTAGTTTGCTCTGTGTTCTGTGCATTGAGTCTGTTTCCTGTCTTGTTTGATTTTGACCTGTGCTTGCCTTAGTTCTTGTTTTATTCTATGGTTATCTGGTATCATGTTCGTGCTTGGTTTCTGTCTGACTATCAGTTAAGGATCGATTTTGTGTTCAGTTTCCAGGTCCCTGTTCTCTCTGATTACACCTGTTTACTTTTTGTCTTGCTTTGGCCTGTTATGCAGTGACTTTGGTTTTCTGGTGTAGGTTCTGGTGTGTGTTGTGCTTTGTTGTGTATATAAGCCCTCTGTTCTGTTCAGTCTTTGTTGCGTTGTCGTCTTATGTTGAGTGTTGTGTTCTGCCTTTTTCTGCATACTTGGATTACTGTTGGATCATCTGCCTTGTTTGGACTGAGTTTTTTTGATGGTATGTTACTTTTGTTTGGACTTTCAGTCAGTCAGTAAATCTCCTGAATCACATCCTCCTCGCCTTTGTCTGCATTTGTGCCCACAACTCCACTTTACCTGCCTACCTGCCACTGCACTCAGCCAAACCCTGACACCATCTAAACTGATCATTCAGTGTCCAGCAGTAACACAGTAGCACTGTTCCACCTGAAATTTTAGATTTGAATAATTTCAGAAGCATCTTGACTTGTGTAAATGTCTCTACTTGAAGAATGTCAATGTTTTGATGGATTACAGCAACAATTTAATGCAATATCAATGAAAAAAGAAGAAAGCAAACATACATCTGCAAGAAGGATGAGCCCATCTGTGGCCTCTGTGAAGGGGACCATTAGCAGTTGGACAACATGGAGTGCCACCTCAGCATCCTGGACCTGGGAGACAACAGTCTGGGCATTTTTGTTGGTAGGATTGCTCCGGAAGTATTCAGTGATTGCTCGCCCACGTTCTTCCATGGCAAATAAAACAACAATAAAAAATGCCAATACAAAAACACAAAGGTTCAAGCTCACTTTGTCATATGACTCAAAAGTATCAATACTATCGAGCAGACTGATATTGTAAGCATTAATGTTAACTAAAATATGCATGTAATATGTTCTTTGTACCTTAATTGCTACTGCCTGGACTGGCTCTGTTTTATTGGAAATGGCAAATATTATATAATATATATTATAATAATATATATTGCCCAAAATGCTTTCAAATTAATCATGCAGTATCTCACAAAAGTGAGTACACCCCTCACATTTTAGTAAATATTTGATTATATCTTTCATGTGACAACACTCGGAGCGCCGTACAGAGTGGTAGCCCCCTCACTCTGACATGTGACTGTGTGTAAATACTAACATAATAATAACCCAGTGAAAACATTGAGTTTCCCCTTGCGGGATTAATAAAGTTTATCTTCATCTAAATTTGCTGTCCCTTCAAAATAACACATCACACGGCCACTAATGTCTAAACCGCAGAACTGAAATATTTTTATAGAGTTTATGTTCATTCTTTGACACTTTTAACAGGTAGCATTGAACACAAAAACAACGATACCAGGCACGGCTTAGGGTAGAGCAAAACCTGGCCAGCTAACAGACAAGTAAGACTATGAGTGGATTCACAGCTAGAGGTTTGTTTCCTGAATCGAGCGAATGCCAGGATGATACATTGTTTCAATTTTCCAACTGGTCCAGTTTGAGTTCACAAAGGTAAAAACTCCAGTGGTCCAGAAAAGTGAAAACAAAAGCCATGTGGTGGAAATGTCATTTGATTATTGGTCATACAGTCAGCAGGTAAAAAGACAACAAACCCCTCCCAATGTTTTTAACACATCGTGGAGCACATATCGGCAGACTTTAGAGGGAAGTGCATATGTCTAAGACAGCGGGTATTAAATAGGCTTGTTTAATAATACAGGAAGGAACTCGATTTTGCTATCTCTATATATCCATACTGAAGTGAGTTTTTTTTCCTTAATGCATTACTTTTAAAATGTACAAGTGTTCACATGTGAAATGAACACATCGGCAGTTAACATGTAAAAAGCCGACTTAAAACATGTCAAAATGTTGTTGGCTGATCAAATTTCAACTTTAAGCACATGTTCTTTTTGGACACATGATTTAGGTTTTTCAACATGTGAACTGAAAACATCGTGTTGGTAGTCCTACATGTGAACTGAAAACACATGAAATAACGTGTTTACATGTGAAATAATCATGTTACAGTTCACATGTGTTAAAACCAACATGAAAATATGTCCAAAAAAAGTTCACATGCTGGGCGTCAACATGGTTCAAAATATGGGGGGATTAAGATTTGCACCCCCCCAAAAGAGGCAGAAACAACATTACAAGGTGGTCTTTCTTATCTGAAATTGTAAATATTACAATAAAATCTTTCCCATATTCATGCCTCAACAATCTTGAAATATGATTTCAGACATCCCTAAAATGGACAATACCATTTCCTAACCTTGATGTTAGTTGAACATCGATCCGCCTGTATCACCCCCACAGTCTATGATCACTCTCAGTGGCTTATTGTCCAGTGTATAAGTCCACGCTAATGGAGACACTGTAGGGTAATGTAAGTAGTTAGATTCCAAGGCATTAGATTGACTAAGGGACATTGGAGGGGGGAAAGTAAATTAGATGACTAGATGAAAAATAATATGAATACATACAATATTGAATATCAAATGATACAACAATATAGTGGAACAATATATATATAAAGTAGCAATTTCAAAAATAGAAAAAGTAAAATTTAAATTGAAAAGAATTATGCAAAGTTAATACAAAGGAGGAGAAAAGTGTTCAAATAAGTATCAATGCATAGGTAAATCCATTATTTTTTAAGTGTTCTCAACTCCAAAAATTGTCCTTTGTGAATTAATTTCTCTTTCTTTCTTTAATCCCTCACAAGCTCAAATGTAAAGAACAGTTTGAATACTGAATAAAAATGAAAAATGAAAAATGAATCGGTAAAGTGCAGAGAATCTACTAGGGGGAGCAATTGCTCTCTCTCTGAAGTTCCAAAGCTGCACAGATGCAGCATGAAGCATGAATGATAGAACATCTCTGAATTTAAT